TCATAGCTCTCTAAACTTTCATTTGGTGGGTGTATCACCGATTACAATGATTTGTACAGCATTAATCCGGTAGCATTTCATCGCTGAGACATGAGGAATGAGTTATTGGGATATCTTTAATATTGTTTGGATATAGCATTTTACAAGTGTCTATTACTCCGGTCAAAATAATAAACTAACAAAAACCTATGTTTACATAAATATAAAGCAAAATATATTGTTGAAGCCGTAAACTTAATTCCCTTGTTTTCGTCGATCCTCCTTGCATTTATTTCTAAGTATATTTTAAATTGTTCCAGTTTGTTTCCAATCATAGCCAGCGAACTTATAACACGTAATGCTTTGTGCAGAGAGGCTAAAGTTACTAAGACACTTACTGTAACTTGCGAATTCCTGATTTGCTGGGTGCCCGTATCACTGGAAACAACTTTTTTGGTATAGTTTTACAGTCGCAATTGAAACTCTCGCCAATTTCGTATTTTTTTTGATTTGTCATTTACCAAAGACAATTATTCATAGTTGCATTAGGGACACCCTAAAATGTCTGTTATTCTACCTTGCATATTGACCTACAACTTATAAAGAAATACCAAACAAAATGAGCGGTCAAATAAATCAATTGAAATTCAAAATGAGTGGTTTTAACAGCCGGATGAGCTCGCTGAAGGTAAAGGTACAAAGGTACAATAATAGAGTTTTTATGGCTTTGTTAGGCCACGCAGATAGAGGTCTCTTGATGATTGGATGATTCCGCTCTAGTTCAGTATGAAACCTGTATATTTAAAAATAATAATAATAAAAGATAATGGGATTTTGCACTGGATAGTCTACGAAATGGCTCTTCTTATCCATTGACACAAATTGTACATTAACGTTGCAAAACATAGTGATTTTAATCACTATATTAGATATATACAAAGTGCAACCGAGAACAAATCTTGTTAGCAGCAGGGTTGAGGACTTGAACCTGGGACCAACAAACTACAAGTCTAGAGCTCTACCCATTCGGCCACACTGCCTCCTTGACTGGAGGTTGTAAATCCTTAATTTCACCAGTTTGCTGTAATTTAACACTTATTTGGTACCGGGTAACTAGAACTTCTCCTTCTTGATTAGTGTTCTTGGTCTTTTGGTTGAACAGGTGACTGATTTTCTGTCTGGTCTTCCAAAGAAACTGTGTTTTTGCCTCTCAACCTGTAGAACATAATTGACACTTACATTTTCCTCAGTACGTTCGGTCTTAAACGAGCAAGAAGTTACCAAGATAAGAACTTTAAAACATTAAAACAGTGCCTCAGGTTAAGCATGCATGTATCTATATCTCACTGGAAAGTTAACATTTATAGAGACAAAGAGTACTGCGAATGTCAATAATCGTCTCACAATTATTCTTGTTGGAAATGAATCATCGTATTAAAAGACAAAAACAATTTTATTGTCCAACAACAATTTTAGGACGCTTTAGCTGATGAAAGTAATAATTTCCTTAAGGCTGTCGATGAAAGCGAAATTACTCAATACAACGCGTAGATGGTATCACGTCTTTAACTGCTATGCGTAATAATAATAATAGTAATAATTATTATTACTATCTTTATTATTATATTATTATTATATCAGCAGTGTTACACATCTTAATGCTATGGATCCTAATGGCACGGTAGGGCGCTAAGCGTAGCCAAGAGGCCATGTTATAAATTAACTTAATTTCCTAGCCAATATCTATCCATATATATACATATATATGTATTACATCTCTTTAACAATGATTCAATAAAGCTGCTAAAATGAATTAAAAAAAAAAAAGAAAAACCCTCTAGAATCCTCTTATAAAATATAAATACGAAAAAAAAAATACAAGTATACGATAATAATTCTCACGGAATTAAAACATAATCAATACTCTATCAAAGATATGTGGCGAGCAGATTAGCCACTCCCAAAGAAGTTCATAGAGGAAGAGATCCCAAATATTTAATCTATATAGTCAGTGTCCATATGTTCAATGTTCCTCTCTGATTGGTTGGCGCAACTTATACATAAGTCTTGAAAGTGCGCGCAATGTTCATGGTCTTTCCTCTACTTCCGAACATCTCGTCCATCGTCTCCTGGAGTTCTTTAGACTATTATTATTATTACTATTATTACTATTATTATTATTATTATTATTATTATTGTTATTATAATGATGATGGTAATAACGGGAATTTAGCACTGGACATCAACGAGATGGCTCTTCTTTTCCATTGTTCTCAGGTCGAATGACATTTGCATTGTTGGTTTCTGTGGAGGGAAGAAAACTGGAGGACCTGGAGAAAAAACTTTGGAGCAAGGAAGAGAACCAACAACAAACTCAACTTTGGTGACTTTTTTTATCGGATGGTCTCATTTTTCAAGATATGTGAGCAAAAGAAACTAGGACTCCTGGGACATGAAATCTATCAACAATGTAGAAAATACTAGACAACTGCACTTGTGATTGTTTGGACTTTAGATGCCCTTAACTATCTATTTATCCTAACTTTGTGATCTTACAAAGCTTGACAATGCGGAATATTCTTGATGGCAATACCTACCCAAGCTTCAGCTTGTTAAACTCATCTTGGACCTTCTGCAGACGCTCTGTGCTTTTAGTTCGTTTCCGCGACCACTTCTTTAGTTGACTGAATTCCTTACTCGGTCTTGACTTTTCACTCGCCAAACGATCCTTTTCCTTTTCTATCTCTGGTAAATACTCAGCGATCATTCGTATTCCTTCAGATGCTGATTCTTTCAATTTTTCACATTGTGTTTTGATTACCATCAAATTTTCCCGAGCCCACTCTTTTATGCTGTTGACCTTCCTCTCACTGGGCCCAAAACGTCTCCTTATCGCTTGTCCAATTCCGGATCCTGATAATTTTTTCACTAACGCGGGAGTAGTAACACCAGCAGTAGCACCAGCAGTAGCACCAGCAGTAGTAGCAGCAGCAACAGCTCCTGTGTTTGTCGCTCCAGCAACCATCATAGAAAAAAAACAAAAATGGAAATCATATTGTCTCAAGATATTTGAATGAGTTCTTGTACAATTATAAATGATAAAAATGGTATTAGTGCTAGTGGTAGTGATGGCGGTAGTGCCACTAGCAGTAGCAGTAGCAATAACAGTACTAATCAATAGCGGTAGTAGTCGTGGTGGCGGAGGATCTGGGGGTGGCGGTCGGGGTTATGGGGGTGGTAGAAGTTTCACCGTTCTGGTAGAACTATTTTAAAAAAATACTCTTTTCTACTTTTCCTCCGTAAAAATGTGTTAAGAAAGAAGCGATCAATGTGTATGACCTTCGAGGAGATGCCTCCATTCCCGAGAAGCTTATGCACAAAGCCTCCATCACCTACCAGCAAACGATGCTGCTGCAGAAGCCACCAATGTTGGTGCTGATGCAGCAGCTGCTGCAGCAGCTACTGTGCCAGCTGCACAACCAAGCGCAAATCTCCAGAAGTTGTCCCTGGTAACGTAGGCATAAGGGTCTGTTAGGCTGCTATAACTGAAATCTTTCAGCGTAGCTTCATAGGGTGGCAAAAATTGTTGGGGAAAGTTTGTTTGAAAAGATCTGAGATTATCCTTCCGTTCCTGATACTCTTTTTCTACCTTTTCACTTTGTAACTGTAAAGCTGTGTTGATTCCATCTATCATCTTCTTGAATGCGTCAATAACTTCATTCTCACTTTCCACAGTGGGACAACTCTTGATATTGTTGCTAAGTTCCTGTATCAATTTATTATTCTCCCCTTCACGGAGTCGAGGTCTTATCAGATCAATAAGCTTCTTCGCTTCCTGATCCACTGCTTTAAGGCTACATTTTTTTTCGTTCAAAGTGCAGATTTCGCCCTCTATCTTATTCAGATGATTATCTATGTATTCTTCCCTCCTCTCCAAGATGCTTTTTATTTCTTCGAAGTCCTCATTGTGTTCTGAAGTGAGATCTTCAGCTCGTTCTATTAGATTCATGTCTTTCTGCGCTTTAACAGATTTTGCACTCTGTGCTAAATCTGTCTCAAACCTCAAAAAATCATTTCTTGCATCATTGGCTTGTGCGGAGGTCTCCTAGAAGACAATTATACAAAAACGAAGTTTTGATAAAGTGGTATTGTTTCTCTCGCAATGCACTAATTTCTCCCTTGATTAAAAAACCAGTCTTCTATAGGCGCTTAGGTCAAATGTTAACCCAGCTATATCAAGTGGTGTGATTTACAGTACTTCTTCCGAATGCGAATGGGCGAGAGTGGAAAACAAACGCTGGACAGAATCAGAGCATGACAGAAACATTCGACTCCCTAAAACCCAAACTTCTACCTTTCAAGGCACGCCGACAACACCAGACAACACCTGCTTTAGAACGAAGTAAATTTCACTTCGTCTTATTTTGAATTTCGGCGTGGAACACATAATCCTTGTTTAGTTGAGTGAGCGCCAAGGCGTTAATTCATTTTGCGCAGTTGACCTCGAATACGGTTCGCTTTTTTCTGCGGCTAAAACAATCTCAACCCAACTTTACGTATACGTTCAAAGTCGAAGGTAATAAAAATTCTACTTTCAATCTAATAAATCTTCAAACTTTTGGATACCTTCGCTACGATGTTATTTTGGCTACTACGCATTTGGAGTAACACTGTTGAAAATTTTTAGGGGCTTCTAGTTTCGCCATGAACGCTAACAACAAGCAGCTTACTAAGAAGGTCAGACGATGTGGTGGAACTCAAAAACGGAACAGAATAGTGCGCCCAATTTACAAGCAGTTAACCACTAAAAATTTATGTCAACGAAAATTATTTCGAAAGAAGGCTCCTCCCTACTCTCAGATTACTGCAACCTACGCCTCGGGTGCCAATTTTGTGCCCCTGCCACATTATGACGTATAAGTGATTAGTTAGTTAATTGAAGCGCGCCAACGCGGAGTCTTATGTTTTTCAATGTGTATATTTATAAATTGTAAATCGGTTTTTGTACCATGTGGAACTCTTTCGCTTCTCGTATGTCATTTCCTGCTCCAATATGATTTTGTCACTTAAAAACGCGCGCATCTTTCTGTTCGCTACAGGACTCTCCAATACCTCGATTTATCTCGCTTCCAGGTTTCAGGTAACTGATCAGATGGCGAGAATATGATTTGCACAAACCTCACCTTTTCTTTGGTAACATGCTTTGCATCAACGAAATAAACCATGCATTTTCCATTCACGAAACTCTGAAACTCTCCTTCGTCTTTTTCTCGTACTTGTTGCCTCTTGCCTTCTTCTTTTTCTCGTACGACTTTATCCCATTTTGTGAAGACGCCAAATTTGAACTGGCAATTCACTTTGTTTAGCAGACCTGCAATCTAAAAAGCGAAATACAATAAATTAGGGAACAAGTTTCTTTTATTTTACTGTTAATATATTTACTTAAACTTTGGTATGTTTGGTTTGTTTCCCATTTTCTGCCCTTTTTTGGCTTTGATTTGTTTTTGACGTTGTTTGTCAAATTAATAATTCGTCTACTTATTTCTTTAATCTTTTCCTTTAATTGAAAAGAAAGCTGTTAATGACTCGCGAACGACCAGCTGGGAACTTACCAGGTGAATCAACCTGGTAGCGTCGTTAATTAAACAGCGACGAAGATAAGGTATTGTGCTCGACCTCCAATTCTAAAATTTATTTTGATGGCCTACAATCGCTAATGAGCGAGAAAATACTCCTCTTCTTCGTCCAACTAAGCTCTTAAAAACGATTCACGTGATCGATGTAAGGTTGTTCAGCAAAGCTTCATGATTAATTTGAATAGTGCCCCCCGCATACCAGGAGCGATAATAAAGTAATGTATACATCTCCTTACTTCATGTATGGAAGGTGACCCGACATTTATCACAGCAACGAGTATATCTGCCTCCTTGCAGGAGTCGAGGACAACTTCGTCGCCATCGGGGTTCTCTTTAGAACCGGGTGTATCTATCAAAACGATATTTTTTGGTAGAATGCAGTGGGGGTGAGGACTTTTCACTTGTATGACACTGTGAGAGTCGATGTTGAGCTCCTCCCTTTCTGCAGAGTTTGTCACTTCAGAAATCTTTTTCAAGAAGGCCACTACGTCCTCTCTTCCTCTTGGCTGGTTTAAGAGTGGCTTTTCACAACCTACTTGATCAACACTCCACTCATCAGCCGTAGGGCGAACCTGAATTTTGCACATTGTTGTCTGAACAGTTGTAACGGGAAGAAAGTCGTTTCTGAATAAGGCGTTTATCAAGGATGATTTGCCACTGCTTGTACGTCCCACAAATACAATGGCTACATCTTCAGATATCGCCTTTTTAAGTTCTTCTCCCAATTTATCCACCGTTTTGTTTAATTTGCCGCGCAACTTCCTCATTATCTCTGGTTCGCGAGGAATTTTACCGAAGTACTCCTTATCGAACTCACTACAGACCCCTTGAACTTCCTTAATTGCTTCAATTAAACTCCCAATATTTGCCCCCAAATCCCCCTTAATTTTCTCGGCTGTTTCCTCGGTGCCATCACACTTTATTTTGCTCTCCGACACAGGTGATTCTGCGGTTGCCATTGCTTGATTCCTGAGAAGTAAAAAAAAAGGGAACTGATCGTCACCCCTCCCAATTTAGATAATTACTAATGTTAATCCTCGAAGGTAGAGTTAATATACTTGTAAACCATTGACAGGGTTCATTCGGCAGTCTGAGTTTCCGGTAGTAAGCTTTAATTTTTTTTTAACAAATTTCAAACAGAATTTTTTCTGTACTTTCATGTAGGGTAAGCTTGTTCGCCACAGTGGCTGTCATCTCGATGAAGCTCGATGGTTGCAACGTCCAACGTAGATACCATCATCTTTGGTGTAAGAAGAGGTCGTTTTGTCTTTGCAATGTTGCGATTCTTTTGCTGCCGTGAATACAACTGTTCTTACTTTCAAAGGTTGCTCCACACCTCGCAAGTTTTTGTATTTACAAGCTTTGAGCTCTGTATCGCGAATTAAATATATTATGAACATAGCTCGATAAATGTAAGGAATTTCAACTGTACATAAAGGCCGACTTCATAGCTAGTGACTATCTATTTCCCGATCTGTTTCGTAGAGTAAACTGAATACGTTTTATGCCAGACAAATTATCTTATTCCTGCTTTTCTTTACGAACGATATCTTCACATGTATAACTTTTTGCAA